ACAGATACAGAACTCCTCAAATATTCATAGAATAAACTCTATTTATTAGTTTTTTGAATATGGATTTTCATCAAGTATCGGCCAGTTCTATTCAATTATTCAAGTTAAACGAAACTTGTTCTGAAACTCTTTTGTGGACAAGGGTGTAAATAACAATGTTGATAGAAACGTTTCAGTATGATTACCAAGAGAGTAATGGATCAAAATTGCGTATATTGCATATATTTCATACATTTGAGTTAGGCAAGAACATTATTCATAAACATTAGCTGTTCCCATTGTTAAACCATGTCAGCCAACTAGATATGATCCATTATGGAGAATACCTGAATGAACAACACTAAAAATCGAACGGTACCCTAACATCTTCATAAAATGACACAGATGCAAGAGTTTTCATTGTCTCTAGCATTAAATTCAATAATGTGTTCAACTCAATTTTGATTTTCAATGGACAAAACTCTCAATAACTGGGTTACTCAATTCCATCAATGGAGTTTCTTAATGAGTTATTCAGAAACTGTCTTTTGTTGTACTTTCTATCAGAGGATATTATCGTCAACCTCTTTATACTCACCTAGTATGAATACATTATCCGTTTCAAAGCAGGGGTATTTCTCTTCTCAAAATGATATCGAACAACCCTCGTACACAACCCCAACAGCCTTCGTAGTCTACATCCTTATTATGTTTACCATAAATCATTTTTATGTGTGCTGGGGTCATCTAAGCAGTTTAGTAACGAAACATAAAATCTTTGAAAATATCGATTACATCTGAATTTTACTCTTATTTTACAAGTGTCGTAAATTTCTGGGAATTTATGAGAGACTGTAATAAAATTGCATCATTGCATGATGCATCCCAGATAACATTTCAAACGATCGAACACGTGAACAAGAAGCTCTCGATTATTTAGAGAACGGTCGTAAGACGCTTTTATGGACGAGTGTGTTCAATTTTTGAGTACGAGGGTTGATCGCAAAGAAGTTAACTGTTCCAAACATTACAAGACAAGCAGTGCATTCTTATTAACGATATTCGAACACATTAAAATGTTTCATTATCTTGTCAATTCATTTTTCGAAACTACAACAGTTTTAAATAATTGGGTTCCTTTCAATTCAGTTTGATTTCGAAGGAATATCATTTGCTTATAATTGAATACCACTATTAACAACCAAGTATCTGTAAAAAAAATGTGGAATGCTGTCCCAAAAAGTACACCTATATTCTATATACTATTTTTTGGACTCATTCATTTCTCATACTTCTACAACATAGGCAAATGAGTAAAAACAACCACAAAATACACATAAACATCTGAAACTAATGGCGATTACCAGTCATCTAGAGCGGCATCGTATATTCCACCGCGCTCTTAGCTACGTCACAATTGGTTTAGGGCTATCAGTGGCGGCCGGCGTTATTTTCTTTAGGGCATAATTCACAACAATATTTTACTTTCAGGGAATCCTCGTGAATCAGAATATGTCTTCAGGGATCATAATAAGCACGCACAGTTTGGTTCTTCAGAAAGTGACAAGATGGCAGAGCGGTTCCTACACCTGCCTCGCTGCGAATCCAAGAGGGGAATCCATGAGTGAACCAGTCAAACTCCGTATCAGATGTAAGTATTCAAAGAATGTGGAATTTCTCGACCGGAGATAACCGTGCCATAGTCATTTTCCGGGTATATGCTATTTTTATGCTTAACGTTTCATTTACAACTGCGGTTCAGGGGTTGGACTCCAGTTTTATTTAATCGGCTTCTTTGAAGTGATAACTTCTACCTAACGCGCAACGGCGCCAGTTTTTCTGGCTTTCCTTTCTCACACGCATACGTCAGTGGTAGGCAGGCTCCTCCTCTCTTGTCGGACAGATTCCCAATCCGGTCTGTAATATTTTCAACATAGAAATGGAAAGCTTTCCCCTTGATCATCCCAGCTGGGATCATTTTGGCATTCTGTTTCATCTTTCTGAAAATTCGAGAAATCACGAGAACACTGAATAACTCTTTTACTATGTTTGAAGAATACCCGTTACTTTCAACTATTTTCTTGTTAACTTTTTTTTGCTCAAAAGAAAATTGACCAGTCCCACCATGTTTTGTTGTGGAAAATGGTGGGAGCTCTAATGGATATATCTCAAAGTTCTAGTATTATTCTTCTATAGGTACATCAAAAGCTAAACTCTCATAAGCGTTTCTCATAAGAAGAACTTCCAGGAGTAATAACTCTTCAAATAGAATACAGAGTCAGATGCTACAAATGCAATACGCATATATACAGACGGCTCGGGATATGGAGTGTACTCCAGATCACTAAGCCTAAGGCTTGAGTGGGAAATGGGAAAAATACCAACGTGGTCCAAATAGAACTAGCTGGTATCTCAATCGCCACAAAAGAAATAACCAGGAAAGGAATTTCTGGCAAAAACATAACAATCTGCACTGACAGCAGACAAGCTCTATTAGCCTTGAACAGCCAAGGAAGCGGCTGGACTAAGAAGTTTAGGACCCAGTGCCGGCCTGATGACTTCGACAATTGCGGAACTAGCCAAATGGTACAACCATGCTCAATCCCTAAACAGGTGGGATGGAATCAAAAGATGCAAGGATCACCTTGGGCGACTCTGGCAAGCTGGCGCTGAAGAAATATCTGGCGATGACCAGGAAAAATCTACGCTGACTAGCCACTGTCAACTAAGGAAACACCTCCATAATATGGGGCTAGTACACACACCTCTATGCAGGATGTGTGAACAGGAAGATGAGACTGTCAGGCATGTCCTATGCGAGTGCCTGGCGATATCGTCAATAAGAGAGTGTGTGTTCGGCGAGTCTCGGCCTACACCTGCCGATATAAAGGAGATGTTTCCCAGTAACCTGTCCACCTTCCTGGATAGGACAAGATGGACGATGACCTAGGAGGACAACTCCTCGGGAGGATGTACAATGAGTCACATGTGGCCTAAGTGCTGTGGGTTTACACTCACCCTCGCTTCTCTACAGATACAGATACAGAACTCCTCAAATATAGGGATTCATTGTTGAGACAAAACACAAAATTCTTCACTTCACTCTTATTCGTGTTGAAGTGTTCGGGCGTTTTTACACACATTCTCATTTATTTTTAAAACCGAATGTTCTTCAACACTGTGTTAAACAATGTAGCATGTTTGCCCAATAAAACCCTAATATTCTGTGAACAGCCACCTCGTCCAGCCGCCCACTATTTCACACGGTGCAATTATTGGTAAAACATCGTGGCAGTTGTTTTTCCTTCAACGTTTATCGGTTAGACCGAAACTCCGGTGCGACCGTATGCTCTAAACGACGAGAGAAATTCAACAAATGGCAGCACGATAAACCGTCGTACGCGGTGCATGTGCCGGGGCATAATCAAAAGCAGTTTCACATACATTTCACGATGCATCCGTGTTACGGAACAATTATGCATTTAATTGCATACCGTGTTTATTCGGTTGCCGTAGAAACGTCTGTGGAATCCCAGTTAATATACAGCCCGCACTGGGACATTCATCTCTTCGCCGACTCCACAAAGACTTAATCATTATTGTCGATTATTGAAATTGTTCTGGGAATGCGGGGTTAATTGGCCAGTAAGAAACTAATGATAATGATAATATTGAAAGTACCCATTTCTTGGAAAATACATGATAATCTCAAAATTCATAGTCAGAAGCAGATAGCAATGTTTAGGAGGAGAAATTTTTCGTAATGATTATGATTGATTCAAATCTCCCCCCTAGTCATTGCAACATCTGGTGAAAAATCCGTCACTTTTTTGAATTTCCTTCAAAGTATTGTTGGTAATTACTCTCTGTAACATTTCTTGAATGCGAGCTTTATGTTCCATGGGCACTTCATTACATGCCACATTTTATATTGACATGACAATTGATAGTTAACTTAAACATGTCCTCCAGGATAGTTAAAGATACGTTGTTCGAAAATTAAATGACAATATGTCCAGTAATAAGCTCTGTTACACCAGCAAAGTATGGAAATCGCATTTAGAAGATGCCAAAATTAGGAACTTTTTAGGTGCTTTTTAGGTACCGAAGTCAAAAATTAGGTGCTCTGTAACTTACACCGCAACTCAATACTCAAAATTGCGTTGCTAGCATTATGTGATGCTTCCAATTTCGCTAAACAACAGATCTAAGAATCAGGTCTCTCGAAAACGAGGACGAATGCTCTATCAGGTATAAACTAAGCTTAGTAATAAAGCGCTAATTAGGTGCTTGCAAGAAATTAAGATGAAAACGACCGCGAATACATAGACAATCAAAATAAAGTGCTAATTAAGTGCTCACTAGATATTCATAGTAAAACTAAATTCTTTAATGCCTATATGGGGCTCATGGACCTGAAAACCACCATGACACGATGTACTGAGTTTTCATAGTACGTTATTTAATGAATAAGGGCAAGAAATTAAAGTGCTAATCAGGTGCTCACTAGAAAAATAATAGTAAACCACTTTGGCTGATGGACTGACTTCTTACAGTACGTTCCTCGATAAGTAAAGGTATGAGAATAAAGTGCTCATTAGATATTTATAGTAAATCTAGATTCCATAATTCATATGGGGCTTATGGAACTGATAACCACCATTAAAACAAATGTTCAAAATATGTTTTTTCCGTTAACCAGCTATCGCACCCCTACGAACGATAGCCTTCAGAAATCGAAATTTGTGCGAGCTAAGAACTAACGAGGCCTTACCTTTTAACGTGTGATTCCTAACACGGGTTGGACGATAGCAAGTGAAAATTGAGCGTTCAGCCTGGGGCTTGAACTATCGACTCACACATCGGCCGATTGACTGAGTGAACAAAGCATCCACGTCGAAGCGCCCGGCTACCGACCGACCGGTCGCACAAGTTTCGATTTCTGAGGGTTATCGTTCGTAGGGGTGTGATAGCTGGTTAACGGAAAAACATATTTGCAACCCTTTTTTTAATGGTGGTTATCGGGTCCATGGTGGTTATAGGGTCCATAAGCCCCATATGAATTATGAAATCTAGATTTACTATAAATATCTAATGAGCTCCTAATTAGCACTTTATTCTCATACCCTCACTTATCATATTAACTTTCTATGCAAAAAATTGTCAACTCAGCTCAACCTTCTTCGCCAGCTGAAAAGATTTATAGGTACTGAAACATTACTAACTGCGAATTACTCACTATTTCACTCCCATTCTATGTATGGAACTCTCTTATGGGGAAAATCCTCTCATGCTCAAAAGATTTTCCGTACGCAAATAAAAGCACTTAGAATAATAACTGGAGCTTCATTCAACGAACCATGTCAACCTATCTTCATCTTTTACAAAATTGTGCCTTTGCCTTGTATATTTATTTTAAACACTTTGTTAGAGATACATTAAAAGAAAAGTATATTCTCCACCCAATCAGACTATCATAATTATCCCACTAGGAATGCAGATTAACTTAGACAACTGCTGAATAAACTAGAAATGTCTATACGAAATTCACTGGACCTAAAGTTGTACAACCATTTACCAGTTGACCTCACTCAGCTCAGTACTCCATCATTAAAGAGGAGAGTTGAAACATTCCTTTTAAAAAACTGTTTTTACTCAACACAGGTTTATATGAATAGTACTTACAGTTAATGATTAATTCACTCAATATCACTTTTTATATATATGTTGCTATGTGATGCTGTGTAGCACCAATATTTCATTCTACCTAGCAGTTAAGTTTTATTTAAAATGATCAATAATAATTGTACATTATCTTTATTTATTTTATTATTATTTTCATTGCGTTCCTGAAGAGGACCAAATAGACCTAACCGCTTTCCAAATTACTTTCCAAATCACTGATAGAAAAGCAACTCGTCTATAGTTGATTGAACGTTCATTCCTAACCCCTTCCTGAGTTTAAATTGAATTCTGTTAGTATTTCAAGAGGGGTGGAAAACTTATATTTCGTTAGTCAAGTTACAGAACTTACAAGTCACAGAATCCGCGTACATTGATGATGTTTGGCTTGAGGGTATACTAATTGAACTTGCTGTTATGGTTTTTCTTCAATAAGAGAATTCCAGGTTTCTCAATGCTGCAAGGTTGAAAGCCATAAACGTTGATAAATCGATAAATCTCTGTTCGATTTTGAAATTTCAAGATGAGTAATGATCATTGTGCGTTCAAGCATCTAGCTCATTTGGTTGACTTGCAGTGAAAGCTTGAGGATTTTCGTTCATCCTTGACAGTTGTTAATAAAGTTTTCTGGTATAACATATGGCGTTTTCATAGAGGAAGATGTCAGGGTTGTCTTTTGAAAACAGTTGAGTAGTTCTACCTAGCATCACTGTTGATAAGTTGCTGGGTCCAAACAGAGCTGCTTGGTGGTGAATTACCAGCTCATCTAGGTGTTCTTGCAGTGAAAGTCAGAGGAAGAAACTCGTTCGGCCGTCGATGACGACGCTTGGCTTCTCGAAGAACCGCTTTGGGGAGCCTTGTTCATTCTGGATATTCGTAAATTGAGTCTTTTGTCGATCCCATAGATAGCGTTTTCGCACTAACCACTTTTTGACGGGGCAAGTCAGACTTGAAGTGCTTTTTTGATCATGATGCTCACAATGTTCAAAGAAAAAGAAACAAAGGTATCCATAGCAAAAATTAATATTGAGCAAGGTAAGGTTAAGTCAAAAGTGAGTGCGTCTATTCAACTCTCCACCGCAACCCGCAAGAGTTTATTGTGGCTGACCTATTCACACTCGAACAAATGAACTCAGCTTCTTAATGAAGCCGCTTAGTTTGTATGGTGAGTGATCTTTCAGGTCAGATTTTGGCTCTGCCAAACTCTGAAAACTTGATTCAGTATGCGCTCTGCTGTTTCATCATTTTCCAAACAGAGGCGATACATACTGTCCTCCTATAGTCCGAGTCTCTGCATATGATGATTCAGACGACAATGGCATGTAAGGAGGCCTGTTAGACATCGTAGTTCATCCCTACTGTAATCCAACAACTGTTTGGTTTCAAGGATGAATGAACGCCTTGCAGTGAGCCAATCCTGAAAGATTTTTCCAGACGCCCTAAATCTTGCCATCCAGGTGTTCAATGTTTGTTTGGCAAAACATAAAGCATCCTCCTTCGCAAGAGATTCAGCAGTCTCATTGCCTTCGAGACCAGTAAGTATCGTGGTCTTATTAGGCTATGCAAAACATACAACTGAAAAAATACTGAAGAATTATATGTAATTGGCCAAAAATCCTCAAATTGGGTTACATTTTGACGTATATCATGGATAAAAGCAATTCTTTATCAAGAGGTAGAGTTTTTCGGAGCAATACCCACGTCTCTTCTTTTTCATAACTTTGTCGACTTATTCAGGATGCACCAATTGATGACGGAAAAAACTCATCAATCCAATGTATCACTAATTGTATTATCTGTTCAAATCTCTTCAGTTTCACGGTACAAAAATACTCAAATCTCATCCGGAGCCACTCCCAAGCACTCCGATTCTGTGATTTACATCTCGCTACATCTTACCCGAGGCGGAATTGCATTATTCAAAAAGGTTAAACTGGAAAGGGACCTGCGAAAACGAGGAAAAGGAGCAAATCCGAAATTTTAATATGGAAATGGAATTTCAAGGATAACTTTTCCGAAGCAAATGAATGTAATTACACACCTGCCGTCGAAGTGAGCTGAGCGCGTAACAGGATGGGTATTTTGAAGAATCTCCTAATGCGGAATACTTGATGAAATGGGGGATTCATTTGGGGATAGTCAGAAGTACGCAGTGTGAGGGTTGGAATATGATTTATGTGTTTCTCTTTCAATAGTTTTGAAAACTCCGCTACGTTGCTCAAGTTACGAGGTAATCTAGCTAGTAGCTTAATATAAATCAAACAAGACAATGCTTTTGAAGTTAACTGTGATCGAAAAGTGATGATAGGTTGAAGATTCAAGACCAATCAAGGAAAAATATAATGATTACACAGGTCTGCAACAGAAACTTTTTAAAAAATTGTTTTGATTTCGTTAACTGATCTTTATGTAGTTTTTTGCACTGAATTCAAAAATGACATTTGTTTTTATCTATCACGTAAGGTTTGCCTACCAAATAAAAATGAAATAATTGAAAAAGTACAAAAAACGAGGAAATGTGGATTAATTTTTATTATTTTAACGTGCAGTAAAAGCAAAAGAACAATGCTACATAGCTAAACTAAGCAAAATAGTGATACACAAGTATTCGCAAAGTGATTATAAGTCTTTGTAAAAACGTTTTCTTTTACCATTGAAGCTTCTTTTGGTTCTTTTTCGGCTGTTTTCTTGTGAATTTTCCCTTTTTAACATCCAAGAGTAGTCTGCCATCATGTTAACATTCCACCGACCTTGGTATCTGCGATCTATATCTTGATGGAATCGTTCTCCTTATTCCTCACTTATAGCCCCTAGATTTTCGGGAAAGTAGTCCAGATGTGAGTGAAGGAAATGGGCTTTGACACTCATGTTGCAGCCCAATATTTTGTAGTTTTGTATCAATTCACCAACCAAAGTTTTGTAGTTTGGGTATGTTTTGTTTCCAAAAAAGCCTGGTATAACAAGTTCAAATGAAGAATTTCACTAGTTTGGACTTCCATTGTCTACTATATAAAATGATTTGAAATCCCTGAGACAACTAGAAAAGAAGAATTAAAAATGAATAGCTGAAAATAACAATTATATTAAGCAAAATAAACCTGAAATGAAATGATGGTGAATTAAACTACAAGTAAAAATAGAACAATTGAATAAAAAAAATGAAAAAAGAAAATAACAATAAAAAGTGGAGAGATTCCAAGTCATGTTAGTTCACGACGTTTCGATTGTTAGTATCTACAATCGTCTTCGGGTGATGACTGGACTGATTCCTTCGAGAGATGACTATTTATAGGTCGTTCGAGTACTTTCGCTTATCCCCGCTTTCTATTTTCTGATTCACTGCTTCCGTGGGAGATGACCGTTTGGCGGGAGTTGGCCATTTTTCGTTCGATGATGGGTTTCCATATGTTGCGTATTTCTACGCTGGCTTGGCTAAATACGTTGTTGGACAACATGTATGCGGCTTCCTTGAATTTTCTCCTAAACCAATGTTCCTGTCTGTAAAAGATCTCAGCTTGGGACCACTCGATATTGGGTTGATGGGTCCAAACATGGTCTACTATTCCTGATTTGCTGGTCCCCTCGATGTGTGTGTTTCTTGTGCTCGACAATGTGAACATTCAATGGCCTCTTAGTTTCACCAATATAGGATTTTCCGCACTCACAGGGTATCCGGTAAATGCAATTCTTGGAATCGCAGTCCACGTTTGGTGGCCCGGTTTTCGTGAGGCTGCTACGGATAGTGTTACCGGATCTGAAGCAGGTTCTGATATTGTACTTGGAATTAATTCTTCTTATCCTCTCCGATAATCCTCTGATGTAGGGAAGTGCAAGCACTGGTTGTGACGGCTTCTCTTCCTTGCGAGGCTTCTGCTGTATTTCAGCCAAAGTTTTTTCTACCATCGCTTTGGAGTAGTCATTCCGTTGAAGATCATGTTTGATGATGCGTATTTCAGAGCCCAAAAGTACGGTTTAATTGAGTCTTGATGATTCCTATTTTGGTCGATTGATGGTGGTTGGATTCGTGGTTCATATACTGTCCCGTATGGTTCCATATTATGAAGGTATCATCAATGTATCTCAACCAGATACGAGGTTTCTTGTGAGCTTCTTCAATGGCCAGATTTTCAAACCACTCCAAATATATGTTGGCTATGACTGGTGAAAATGGTGATCCCATTGGCAGTCCCTCATCTTGTTTAAAGAATTCATCCTTCAGTTGGAAATAACAGTTCCGTACACAACATCCTAGCAATTCCATAATTACTTCTATAGGTAATTTCGTTCTATCTTCCAGGTCCCCGTCTTCAGATAGCTTCCTCTGTATGATTTGGAGTGCTTCTTCTATCTGAACGGTGGTATAAAGGCTTTCCACGTCGAAACTGATTAGTTGATCTTCATGTATGACTTCAATTGCCCCTAGTAGTTCGACAAAATGCCTTGAATTCTTCACAAAAGACAAAGTTTTTCCTCGTAATGGTTGTATTATGGGGAGTAAAAATCTAGACAAGTTTTGTGTAGTCGAATCTCTGGAGCCTATGATCGGTCTGAGCGGAACGTCCTTCTTATGGATTTTGGGTAGTCCATACAAGTGAGGGGGCTTACTGTGCTGCGGTGTTAGCGATGATCTCTCTTTGTCCGAAAAATAGACTTGGTGTTTTTTCAATTGATGCAATAGGGTCCCGTACGATCTTTGTGTATTGTCCCTTCTGAAGAACCTCTTCGATCTCTGTTCGTAGAGAATAGTATCCATCACCACAGTAGTGTTTCATTCATTTGCAGGCAGGATCTTGATGGTGTTGTGTCTACGTAAGCCGTTCAGAGCTCTACGTTCTTCATTGCTGATGTTAGATGTTGGAACTGGTTCTCGATCCAGCTGTTCTCTGATTTTCCATCTGAATTCTTCTGCCTCGATCTGGTCAATGAGGGAGCTGGTGGATTCCACTGCAGTTATCATCTCCAAAGTGGGCACAGACGTTGGCGCCATGGCGAAACAACAACAACGATTCCTGTATTTCCGTGGAGGGGCGGGAACTCATGTTGATGACATTGGCGGTTTTATAGTTGTCTTGTTTACTGTCTGCATTTGGGCATTGTTTCCTCACTAACTTCCCCCACTTTCTGTTGTGAGTATTCTCCATGTCTAGACGGATATTCAAGCACGTGCTTTCAATCTTAGCAAAGATTGGTCCATGATCCTCTTCCAATGTCTCCCTTCTTATTTCTTCAAATCGTTCCGTGGCACACTGTAACAAAGTTGACCACGAATAGGATGAATCAGGTTGCTAAATATTATAATACTTTTATTGTAAACGCCGTAATAAAAAATATCTAGCTGTCTGTTACATTTGTTTCTACTCATCTACTAATTTCCACTGAACCAATCTTCAACTCGGCCAGTGTGAACGTCATCGGGACTATTACAGTTCTTTTTTTCCAGTTTTCACTTAAAAATGATGTGCCTTTGATCGTTGAAGTTACGGGTAGATATTTTCAAGGTCGTAGACAGTAAAAAATCAAATATCACAAAACATTAACAAGAATATAGCGCAACGATTTTCCAATATATGTGCAATTTTAATCTAAATAGTTCGAATATCATCATAACCTATCCTGTTCAGTGAATATTCAATGAGATTTCTTCATTTGAAATTTTTGATGCAAATATGATATCAATTTTCAGATGCTCCTGTCTGTAGCAGAGACACTGACATTACAATTATCGGCGCCTCGCTGGACGAGGTGATCAAAGTGAGATGCCAAGTAGCAGCTGATCCTGCAGACGTCAATTTCCTGTGGCAATTCAACAACAGCGGCGAAAGCTTTGACGTATCTCCCGCTCGATTCGCGACATCTAGTGGAAACGTTAGCGAACTGATGTATACGCCAGCTTCGCAAAGAGACTACGGTACGCTGACTTGTCTAGGGACCAACTCTATAGGGCGACAGATGGATCCCTGTGTTTTCCAGGTGAGAAATATCTATAAGAAAAATATTCTACAGGTCTGTAGTTTTGGTATCAGACCAGGCATGTTTAATAAAAACGATTTCTGACAACCGATGTCGCGGAAACCATCGTAAGAGCCCGCGTAAACAATATTTTCATTCTACCTTATTCAAGCGGTATTTTGTCACAGTACACACTTTTAAATAATATGATTCCAGTTCGTCGCAATGATAAACTCAACCGTCTGAGGTCTCATGCCAAATTAAAGATCAATTTTGTCTAATGTGATATCAATATCCATCATGGTATTGGCCAGGAAAGTAGTTGTTTTCAGGCAGGCATTTTCCAAAACCTACCGTGTAGGCATTCTGAGACAAATAATTGCGATGGTGGTATTTTTCTCTAGGTTGTTCCAGCCTCCAAACCCAGCTCTCTGACCAACTGCACCCTTCGCACCGCCAACAACCAAACCTCAGAGACAGTTGAAGTAGAATGCAGAGCTGGCTATGACGGCGGATTACCTCAACGATTTCTCCTCGAAGCATACGATGCGAAGACGATGAGGCTGAGGATGAACTTCACAGTGGCCGATACCGAGTCACCGATCTTCAGACTTGACTTGGGGGAGTTGCTACCTTCACCTCCGTCCCTGCGCATACTGGTATACGCTGAAAATGCTAAAGGAAAGAGCGAAAAAGTAGTTCTGGACGATATACTACTCAATGATGCAGAGAAACGAACTGGTAGGTTGAAGTCACGATATACCTATAGGTTATATAAAGTATATATATATATACGTTATATAAAGTTATGTAGCCTACCTTGCATAGTCACTTCTGTATCACTTTATGTAGCCTTTTTTGTGACTATGTAGGGTATGTATCCTACCTTGAATTCACTTTTGTGTCATCCTGTTTAATCACTTTTGTGGGTCAAGTTGGGTGGTTCCTCAGATATTTTTGAGAGAATATTATCACTAACACATTTTTCAGATGGCAGCAACAACGTTAGCCTGGTGCCTCTTGCTGGACTATTGACCGGATCCCTTCTAACGCTTGGCATGGCTGTACTAGTGATTGTGGTAGTGGCCGTGCGAAGGAAAAGAGAATGTGATGGTCGCTTACATTGTCCACATCATCTGAATATAGGTAAGGAGGAGTTTTTTGAATTTAGGTCTGGAAATTTTTTCCAAACCAACCACATAAGGCTTTTGCAAGAAGCGGAATAGCCATCCAAGTCTCCCAACCTCAACCTGTTGTTTATCTGTGAGGCTCGGTAATGAAATAAACGTCGTAGTTTCGAAATCTTACAACAAAAAATAACGGAAAAATTAGGAGCTCTCCATGACAAGATCGTACTGAAAAATATCTTTATCAGTTGTCCAACGCTCATAAAATTGTATCAAAAAAAGAGCTGATGTCTTTCAGCAACTAACTACTTTGAATAAATCACCCAATTTCCTGATGTTTACCAATATTTCTCAACTTCTTCCATCATTTCTACAGAGTTCGGTGGAATACACTTGTTATTTATAAAAATGTGTGGGAGAATTTTTGATTTCCTGACTTTTTTCTTTGATCTCAGTGAAAATTTAGTTTTTTTCATTCCATTATGTACATGATCACCAGTTGATTTCAAAATGAGCTATGCTATCCCCAATTCTATCATCTGTCTCTTCCTAATATCATATACTAACTTTTACCCGCGGCTTCGCTGGCATTTATGCCATCAAATAGAAATGAATCAATATGAGAACTATATTATGTTGCCTGGGATTATCCATTTTTTTAAATAATTATCTTACCTAACCTAACCTAACCTACACTTTTCTACTCTAATATGCTCTAATCTAACCTAATCTCACCTAACGTAACCTTACCTAACCTAAGCTTATATAACCTAACCAACAAAGTAGCTAGATTTTGAGATTTTTTGACAAACAATTTTATCTTACTTAATACAATGAAAGTTTCAGAAGTTGTTTTGATCTATTCCTAACCGATTTGAGAAGAGAGATCAATATATAAATTTCAATGAAGAAAAGAAAAATGAAACTTTCTATGTTTTTTTTACCACTTTCATTTGTAACTAACGTTACTGCAGATGCGTCCTATACGGACATTTTCAAACTTATACAATAATATATATAATAAACACCTTATTGTATAAAGAGTTCATTGTATAAGTTTGAAAATGTTCATATAGGACGAAACCACAGTAACGTTAGTTACAAATAAAAGTGGTAAAAAATATTGAACGTTTCATTTCTCTTATTATGATTTCCTACCACGCAGTAACGACTACATCCATCAATTTATATAAATTTTATTTCATCAATAAATCACTTCATTATCTAGTTGCTAATTAATTAGATTCTTCAATATGATCTTTGTAATGGATTTTTAATAAATGATGTCAACTGTCATAACTAATTGTACAGTAAATTTTCAGAATTCTCCACGTCCTTTGGAAAAACATCACACGTTGTTATCATGAAAATATGACAATATAAAAAAAATTGTCACGTTCAGAGGATTCATAGTCCTGGGGACTAACCTCCTAATATTATTTTATGAAAATGAGACTGAAACAAAATTGAATTTTCAACTCGATTATACCTGGTTATGTAATTATACCTGTCAGTGATATTTCCTTTTTTTCCACAGATGCTTCCAAACAAGCCTCAAAATCCAGACAGGGTTCCATGCTGGAAATCAACACCGGCGACAACCGTTACGTGGTAGCCTACACGTTGAAGCCGGCCTCCGATTGCGCTCCTCTGCCTTCACCGCAGGCCACTATGTCCCCGCCCGATCCTCGTCGACAACCCGACATTTTGAACACCCCTAGAGGTGAGTGTCGGTGTTTGTGTCATTGTCGACACCGGCCGAAATTGTCGACCTTCAAGCACTTCGATGACGTATAGTGGCATGTACTAGATGTAGCATCCATAACTAGTTGTAAAGTCGATGGGGCATGTGTAGGCCAAATGGCATGCGAACCAATTCATCAGATTCAATAGTAGATTCAAAATTTGTGGGAAAAAAATGGTAAAAGGGTATTTTGTAGATATACTATTCTAGCTTTGATTTATTGGGGGTCAATTTAGAATATGCTCCATTCAATAACTTTAATAGCTGCAGTGTGAGATGTCAAATATCTTTTTGGATCTGTTCAACGGTACATTTTTAAACAATTCATTCGGAAAGGCATCAATGAAATTTCACATTTCAAATATAACGTTCAAACTCATGTTAGTTAGAACTTGGAGATGACAGAAAATATATCAAACACGTTAACAATTAAATTATGAGTTGGAAGTATCTTGTTTATTTTTGAGAATGAAACAGTATTCAAATGACTGTTCTGATGGACATTCGCTGAGCATGCTCTGTGTAACATCAAATTGTAGGTTGCTAATTTATTACTGTTGGCAGGAACGAATCACTTGGGAGTCTGTGATGGTCAGGTTATAGAATGTTGATGATCTCATACCACCTAGTAACAGCTTCATCCATCAATTAATTCATTTATAATGATTTTTATTGGTATCAAAATCTCTAGCATTTCTTTTAGAGATTTTTCATATCAAAATATATTCACAATCTATCCTTTTTTGATGAGAAAAAATAAGATTTTCATGAAGATTCTCAAGTTCAATGATAAAAGTTCCATTTTAGATTCCAAGCCATCTATCACCGCATGAATATTTTATGTAATTAAACTAACTCTATTTCATTCTCATATCGATGCCGTCCATAACTGTTCTCTTGCAACTGTAACCATTCTCCATCTGTCATATTCTCAAAATTATTGTTAAACATGAATTATGTATGCGCGAAACAAAATAAATTCACTGAAATTGAATAAATCATATTTTCATTGTTCAATAATGATCCGAGACATTTTATGAGATGATGGAGAATTGCGATATAGTTGTAAGTTTTCAGTTAATTTGCATGTTTTCAATTAAATATATGACTTTCTATAACCATTACTTTTAATCAGAAAGAAACTCGAATATATGTCATTCAGCTTCCGCTAAATTTAAGCCCTGTTAAATACCTGCTTCTTGATTTTTATGAAAATTATTTTTGTATATTTTTTTATATTCCACACCTCATTTTGTTATACCATTTACAGAAATAAAATTATTTTTTCATGTACTTTCGTTTTGTTTGTATTCTTTTCAGCTGACTTCATTCCCCTAGCATCAATGGACTTTCGTTAGAAATGAAATTTGAATATTATACGTTCTCTTTAGTTGAGAAAAGTAAAATTCCCATACTTCGGTAAATATTCGAAAACGATACAATGCTAAATACTAAGGTTCTTCATTTCAGTTCTGAAGTAAATTGATTAAAACATAATTCACTAATGATTGGTGACCCTGAATAAAATGGGGCTGTACAACGGAGACCTCAGCTGCAGATTATGCAACGAAGGGATAGAAACAGCTCTACACATCTTATGTGAATGTGAGGCACTGAATCACAGGAGGCAGGCTATATATGGACGTACAAAATCACGGCCAGAAAAATATGACGAACATCCAACACGGAACCTGTACAAACTAGTACAGGGAACGAGACTGATGGAATGGGTGTCATGAGAAGATGGGAGAATAAACGCAATAAGCCCAAGAGGATGCAGTGTTTTCTGGAGACTTGGACTAAATGGACAAGTCAGACAGCTCCCAAGGTACAAAAAAAGTTGTGACCATTACACTAGAGATTGAAAGAGTTACAGTAAAAAGCCTGGTGAAAACCCTAACATAATGGCTAAATAAGCTTCGCTAAATGACCAAACTATTTATTTTTTAGAAGGTGGTTTTCAATGTTTCATGGTGAATTTCACAAGTTCGGACTTTCATTATTCAATATAATAATAACTTAATTCACAACGTATACATGATTCGAAATATATGAAAGAAAAAATAAAATCAGAATGAATAAGTAAAACATCAATGAAAATACAACAATAAAACGAATGAAATAATCAACATGAAAGATGAAAATGATCACAGAGTAAAACGGAATAAAAAATTAAAAAAGGAAAGGAAAAATAGGAAAGGGAAAATTGGAAAACCAACCAACTTTCTTCACGACGATTCGGTTGTGTTTCTCCCTGTGGATGACCTCAGCTTGATACCACTTGATGTTATATCGATGAGTCCAAACATGTTCTGCTATTCCCGAATTGCTGGTGTCTCTTCCCACACACAGCAAATCAGGAATAGCAGAGTATCTTTGGATTCATCAACATAATATCTATTGGTCTTGAGCTGAAATCATTCAAAGGGAGGGCCACTGTTTCAAGAGAAAGCTCAAGGAAGCTGCATAACATTCACTGCTCTCAGTGAGCAGTGAATTGGCGCAAGTGGCAGTGCAACCGACTAACAATTCCTCATCGAAACTAACTTCGACCAGATATTTTTCTTGAAAGGATTTTTTTTAATTGAAATCGACTGCAAATAGACATGATGCTATTTCTCCAACACTTATTAACATGGCCTAACACGAGGATAATGACTTCAGCAATCAAAAAACGAACTTTATGAAGAAATTTATAGTTTTTTTTGAGGACAAAACACAACCACAACATGAAAATTTTTAAGGCGCTCTCAGAGCGCCTGTGCGAAAGTTTTAAAAAATTTGTTTTCCGTTAACCAAGCTGTCGCACCCCTACGAACGACAACCCTCAGAAGTCGAAACTTGTGCGAGCTAAGATCTTACCTATTAACGTGTGATTCCTAGCATGGGTTGGACGATAGCAAGTGAAAATCGATCGTTCAGACTAGGGCTTGAACCACCGACCAACAGGGCAGTCAATTGGAGTGAGTGAATAAAGCACTCACGTCGATCCGCCTGGCTACCGACCTATTCACATTGAATTCGAATCGGTGGAGATTAAATCCATTTGGAAAAACAATCTCAGGAAGTTTATTCCACATAAACGCAGTTCTCCATATAGAAGAGTTCTCAAAAAGTGAAGTTCAAGGTGTACTGAGTTGAAACTCGAAACGATGAGCAGCCACAGTCCGTCGCGTATTTCTGATATGTACCGCTCTTGGTGGAATCAAATATGCCAAGTCACTTGAACACCTCCCGTGGAAGTATCTATAGAAGAGAGACAAATCTCCAACCTTTCTTCGATGTTCCAGACTATCAAAGTTACACGTGATGTTGCGTCACCAATCAGGCTCTATTCTGGATGGATTCCAGAAACTTCAGGGTATGTTTGGGGGCAGAGCTCCATACATGAAAACAATACTCCAAAGAAGGTCTGACCTGATATTATTATATCCAGTTCTTGATCCTCATTAAGATATGCAACCTCCTGCTGCCGGTGAAGATGTGTCTCCTTGGCCGATGTCTTGGAATACTAATGGAATGACGAGACAAGTGTGCTGTTGTCAGCAAAGCAACTATTATTACTTGAACTCCTCCATGTCCTTCTTGATCATCTACTGGAGAAGTCTAAATTGATCGATTCCCCAAAGAGTTTTGAGTTTTTTCTTTTTGGAAAAAATATATTCAAACCAATATCAGTTATCTAAAACCTCGTTATTTTCATTAGCGAAAAATAAAAACAAAAAGTCGTCTCCACAATTAATTATCACCTGCTGATATTAGACCGGTAAAACCATCAATCAGTACATGTTTCGAACCTCAGAAGTTCAACATCAGCTAATTATTTAATATCATGGAGAAGAAAATATTTTATAATGGAGAAAAAAAAACGTCACTTGTTACCAATTAATCAAAAGTCACAATGACATGTTGATAATAATGAAACCATTTTTTTTATTTGTAAACGAGGGAAGTTTATGAATTCATATCTATAAAAGAATGGATCATGGGAGGCTTAGAGCCTTAATACCCACTCATTCACATCAAAATAAAAAAAAACGGAACATTGAAACGAACTATAATGAAAGATATCCTGACTGAATTGAATGAGAAAGGAGAATCAACTGAATTCGTTTTCATGTACCGTTTTTTTATTTTGATGTTAATGTGTGGGTATAAAGGCTCTGAGCCTCCCGTAGTTCAATCTTTTTTAGATATGATTTTATGAATTTCCGTCGTTTACTAATTTTAAAAAAGTATGGTTTCATTATTGTATCATTGTGATTTTTTAATCATTGGTAACATATGACAATTTTCCTTTCTTCATTATAAAATATTTTCTTCTCCATAATTTTAAATAATTACCTGATGATGAACCTATATAGTTGGTTTTACCGTTCTAACATCTGAGGGTTATAATAAATTGTGGAGACGACTTTGAGTTATTATTCTTGTCAAATCTTCTGCACTCCATTATTTTTAGTTTCGTTCCTAATAATAGTGGAGCCCAAGCGGGGATTTTGGGATTTACTAGAGCGCAGCAGATTAATATACAGGGCGATACCTTGTACCCGGTTAAGTACCTCCACCAAATATGCTTCCCAATTAATTAAGTTCAATGAATTGAAATATTTATGAAAAAAATATTGTTTTTGTCAGATCAAGCGAATCCCTCTAGATAATCGTCAGATTATGAGACAGCACGTCTAGAACATAAAGATGAACTATATATATCTTAATCTGACGCGCTTGAGTATTTCAAAACGACGAATTTTTTTTGCACATTATAATAATAGCCGCGAGTTTGCGTCAGATCGAAATCGTCAGATTATTGAATGAGAGCGTTTTTTCTGTTGCACTCAACCCCCCTTAGAAAATCTGACACACTCGATTGAATTTTTTTTTCTATTCACTTTTAACCCTTACGTACAACCACCCACATCATGCGAACGATTAGATTAACATACACAGATCAACATCATTGAAAATACGTAGGATATTGATGCTATCAATATCTGACGCGCTCGAGTCTGTCCATGCAACAGAAGTTTTTTTACATATTTAAAAATCTATAGCCACTTCCCCTCCCGATAAAAAGATATATATTTCATAACATTTTTTTCTTCTCATCAATGACGCTCGAGTAAATCCCAATTTTGCATCGTGGGCTCCCCTGCTGAAAGAATAACTTTCAAATAACGTAGAGATAACTACAAATGCATTCAATGTCGTATTGTTTCAAACTTCAAATAGCACAGTAATGATACTCTCATTGTTCTGTTGAAAATATACATCCCATCCATTCCTCTGCCTCCTGTTAATTTGCATTTACCGCAACGAGGAATCCCCAATCGCCTAAATGGTTCTAACCCTGTAGATCAATTCATTATCTGGCAGTTTTCATGGCGTTTGGTTTACAAAAGGGCATAAAGAAGCAATCGCTCAAAGTGGTGTCAGGCAAAAGCCGAAGAAGTGTTACTCTAAATCTGTTAAGTGAATTGGGTTGAGAGTGCACAAAGAAAGCAACAATTCACTCCTATCCCTACGACGTGCTAAGGATTTGATTGCCAATTATCCTGAGAGCTAGGACTGTAAGGAACAAATACGGACTTTTCGAATGGTATTGAATGTATTTACTGTTATTTCAATACATTTGCCACGTTGTGGAAATGGTTACAATCTTGAACATCGTGTCATCGCGGATGAAACAGTCATGTTTCAAGGTTGAGTTACTACATAATCACTTCATCTTGTTGGTTATCATTAAAATGATCCACGTTCATTATACCATCTTGTTTTGGGAAGAGTGGAATCGTTTTTTGAGTCTTCCTATTGGTGGGGACTTTTTGGGCAGTTCACTACCAACTTTGACGTTGCTTGATGAGATCTAAATGCTTCTAAAGCCGCTTGGCTATCAAAAACATATTTTTTCATGTATGTGTGAGGTAGGTTTCAAATAATTTGAGTGAATACGTGTACTACAAGATTCTGGTGATGATTCTAAAGAGGTCATGCAAGATACCATCAATTCCTCAGAAGAGTGTTCCGCAGAGTGGTCGAATGACTCATGAACTGAAAAGTTCAATAGACACAGATGTCATTGATAAATACAAAAACACAATACATGGATAGAAAATTATAGAGATCAGTCCTTGTCGAAAACTTTTTCAGTGAACGGAAAAACACCAGAACACAGTTGATTGAGTCTACATCAATAAAGAGGAATACAGAAATTCAAGATTCAACGCAATGGAAACAAAT